AATCTGCAGACTTCTTTCTTGTGATCGTTTAATCTTGCAACCGAACATTGCTATGTCACCTTCATCCCTTTCTAAGTTAAAGGTGAATTGGATGCATGTGCCAGGAACCTATTGATGCGTTCCAATTTCAGTACTGTCAACCTATCATCTACATATCGGAGCCATATCTTTAGAGTTGGGCTATATGTTTGAAGGGCCATCTGTTTCCAAATATCTATAAATATGTCTGCCACGATGGGGGATATTGATGACCCCATGGCAATACTTTCAGTTTGTTTATACATTTCATTTTCAAACTTAAAAACTTTAGATGTTAGGTTCAATCGTACTGCTAGAATGATTTCCTCGATCGGCATCTTAGTTCGATGCGTAAGCGCACTGTCATCGTTATTCCCATTTCTAACTGCTTCTAGAGCCATGTCGACCGGTATATTTGTGTAAAGGCTAATTATGTCAAAACGAACCATTTTTTCATTATCTAATCTATGCTTTAAATCATAAGAGTTGGTAAGTCGAGACTTTGAGTGATTTCCTATTGGACCTAACACCATTGCTAAATATTTAGACAACTCGTAAGTTGGAGTGTTTCTAAAATCTACTATAGGCATGATGGGATAACCTGGTTTATGAATCTTAATAGTACCATACATTCTACTGGGTTTATTAGTTTTCGGCATTAAATTAAGCCATTTTAACTCACCTAGAAATGGCTTCATCCAGCGTATCAGATCCCTTGTCGATTCCTTAACCTTATTCATAATAGTATCCACTGATTTCTTAATTTCCTCATATGGTCCTGTTTCCTCAACCATCTCGACAGCCTTGGTGCAGACATTGCATATCCCCATCCTTACTTTCGCTTTCATCGACAGGAGACACATCGGCTGACTGGTTTCCCGAAGGCTTGTGGGCAGTCATGACGTAAGGTTCAAAAGACTGCAGAGGACACAGTTCAATGAAGGTGTACTACTAAAGTCCTATGTTCCACTAGGAATTCAAGGGAAAAATAATATAATAATGGTCCTGTTTTTATATGCTCATTCATTTTGTAGATGTAATCAGATTTGATCATTACAACTGTTAAGTTGCCCTTATTGAAAGGTTCCTGAGATCTCTTTCCAGCTTGAGTAAATTAAATTTCATTTTCTTCTATCGTTTCAGTGTTAGGGCAAACTGTGCTCTCATCTCATCTGCAATTGTCTTATCGATTGAACTTAAAACGCTATCTCTATTTTGCAAATGACATCTCTTCTGATCTCAATTCATTAACTGTTTGTTACATTTGAAGTTAACGTGAATATATAACAACAATGAAGTAGTTCTAGTGTGTGACACTATTATCCACGGTTTCTGATATTACCTCAACATTTCTCAATATCTATGATATAATTATCAAAGACAGAATGAGACAAAACATACACAGACTACTGGTAATGATTCCCTCTAAAGAGAATGTATATATTGAATAACTTGTGCAACTACAACATATTCCTCTGATCAAAATACATTCAAAGACATAGAAAATCAAGAAACTGAGAAGTAAAGAATGATACTAGTGTAATTGTTTTTATATGATATCATCATTGATTGAACCGAATTGATTGGTCTCTATTCACATATGGGCTCCTGTGAGGATGCCTCAATATTATGTTAATGATGGATCGTAGCCAGCAGTGGAATCCAGGATGCGCATTTCGTCCTATTTGGGACTCGTCAGCTGGATGTACCTGCAACCCAGTGAGTGATGTTGTCCCCACAGGGATTCAGACTCGGGAGCGATTGCTTCAAACACCAGAGCGTTATCCACTACACCACCGAGCCACGACAGCCACTTCTTGTGCGATGGGTATAGTTTTAGCATAACCCGGTGGGAAGCAGGTACATCCAGCTGACGAGTCCCAAATAGGACAAAATGCGTATCCTGAATCCCACTGCTAGCTACGAGCTGTGATTAAAAGAATGATATTATTGAGTGACTATAAAGGCTAACCTAACAACTAGCTAGATAGCCAATTAGAGATCAGTATTTTAAGAGAAATTGCCCCTCGAGCTAAAATGGATACCTAATTGGTTATTTCAAATATTTCTAGAGTGATCTTTAAAGTCACCTAAATTATTGATCGTGATACGACCTCCTAAATGATATTCCTCATTTGCATAACATCTCTTTCAATTCCATAAAGATACTGTATTCTAAAACATTGACTTCTTCCTGTTCACCTAACATCTCACTCTCTCTCTCATGCTTCAAAATCATCTTCATATTTCCACAACATTTAACGGAATACATCTATTTCTGTTGAAATTCATGGTCTCATAGAAAATAACAATCCTCAGCGTATCTTATTCAGTATGTTACAACTGCTTCACTTTTCAAAACTTCGGTTTCGATGGCTTATTCAAGTAAGTTATTATATTTCTCATGTTTTATGCCAATACTTCAAGCGGCATTATATTCGTTCACAGAATACTATAGCCTGAGGAAACTTGAGTGCTGACAGAGTTGTGAGGGCAGTTGACACTTCCCCGCTGCCCACACCGTGGAAGGCTATTTCTTCTTAAATTACCTGAAAGAGAAAAAGGATTTGTCTGACCACAGAGCCCATCGGACATCTGCTTGAGGCCTGTCACACCCAGCCTTTTGTGTATGATTATTTTGAACTTTTGTATTTTTGGGGCCGGATGGTCAAAAAGAAACGACATATGAACCAACACTGTTGGCCCGGCAGACCGTGGGGCATGGTGGAGTGTGTTATTTTTTGGGCCGACCTTTCTAGACCCCTCCTTCCATTGAGAAGGCAGCATCAGCATCGCACTGCTGGTCATCCAGGGAAAACACCTTACTGCTGTCACACCCCATCCAGCTAACACCAATACGACTTCGCCATTAGACGCCCCCCCCCCCCCATCATAGTGTAGTAATTTACACAACAACGGTAACTGCTTTTAGTCTAACCACTATCCAATACACCTTTCTGGTATAATAGGACCTCGAGGGAACACGCTTTCTACCAGCATAGCTCGTTGGGTCTTTGTGATGTGAACGCCTGACCACCACGTCAAGGTAGCAGCTATCCGGTGAAATCTCTGTACGCATACAAAAGGCTTAGCTGGCTTTCGCCAACTATAGCGCCACCGTGATATTTAATTGTCTATTAAGGGTAGCGTATACTGTACAGCAGTACGCTCTGTTCTACTGTATGGCCGTGAAACATGGCCATTGAAGGTGAAAGACATGAGAAAGCTGTGGGTCTAGGTGTTGTTTGACCACCCCGTTGCCTTCGTAGTGTAGGCCGTATTCCGTGATGTCACCAGGTGAGTAATGCAGAAGTCAGGTATAGGTGTAGAGTTTTAGGGAGGGAGAATAGTTAAGTCGGTTGACGAGGTTGTGAACCTTGATGGAGTGAGATGTGTGGTTGGGACATGTGTTACGTATGCCTAGTCACCGATTGCTTCTACACACAACGTTGGCCGAAGTATGTGTAGGATGGAAAGAGGTCTGAGGTGGCCAGACTAATTGATGGGATGAATGTATGAAGTGTTTGAGTGTTTGTTTGAGCCATGTGGGGTGATGCAGACTAGTCAGCCGGTTGGAGTGGGTGGGACGAGAGGAACGAGTGGTTGGAGACTGACTCAAGGGGATATGGCTCACAACCGGTGTCAGTGGCGCAGATGCATACATACATTATCGTCATCTTAACGACACCGTACTGAATCTCACCACTTCCTCATTCTTCATTTCTCTCTTTTTGTACTTTATATTTCTTTTGACTGAATTTTATTTTTTTCTTCATCTTCCACTTTACTGCCTTTTTACTTGATTGACTGAGATGAGGTGTGTGAAGTGCGACCGTTACTCAATAATGCCTAGGCGTATGTTGATATGGATGGATGGACAGAATACTATATCACTCACAGACAATCAAAACTTCTTATCCTACTAATAAAACTTAACAATTCATTGTATAAGTGTTTGTTTATCTTCATAAATATATATATATATATGCATATTGAAAGTCCAAGGAAATGGTTTATATATGAAGCATATTAGATGTATATGCAGAGAGAGAATGGGCAAAAATTGAGTTCAGTTGAACACATCTCGGTGTAAGAAAACCAAAATTGACTGATAAACATGCAAAGAGTTTAACAATTCCATAAGCAAATGAAAGGAGAACAATAAAATAACACCATACCTTTTCTTTAACAAAAACTTAATCATATAATTGTATAACTGATAAAATTCTCTTCTTAGAAAGGTTTCTTTTCCATATACACACACACAGGTATCAATGAGAAATTCATCTCATCTTTTTATAACCCTTATATTAGATGATAATTATAAAGATTAGATGAAATTTTAAATTGTAGCCGGACTCGAACCAGCGACTATTGGGTCAAAAAAAAAACCTGGTTCCAATTTGGCTACAGTTCAAATTTTCATTTCAACTTCAATTATTACTCAATAAACATTACTAAACTGCTAAACAATAATGAAATAATCATCAGTACATATAGATATCTATCTGATTTCTTAACTTTTGACCCGATTGTTTATTAAACACTTAAAAAATGCATTGTGTTGAAAAAAGCAATAAAAGAAATAAAGAAAGAAAGAAAGAAATGGCAAGAGAAAAGAAGGAATTCATTTAATAATTGATAATGAATAGTAATCAATATCATTAATTAACAATTGGAAATATAATAAAATGAATCTTTTCAAAAGACACTAATGTATAAACAATAATAACTAGGCGATATCCTGCTTAACAATATTATCACTCATTAGAAACTGGTAAATGAACCTTGAAAAAGGATAAGGATCGACGACAATCCCACCAGGAAAGTAAACACACACATACACACGCACACACACACATGCATACATACATACATACAAATTAGACGAAATTATTGCTCATCAATTAGACAAGTAAGGAGAAATGATTATATATATATAAATATATATATATTGCCTGTTTCTTTCTCTTCACAAATCTTTATAACAACTCCACATAGTTGGCAGGATATAAACCAGCTCGATTACCTTTACGTCCTTTACACCAACCTTGATCATCAGCTTCTTCAAGTTTTACAAAAACTTCACCTATAAGATAGAAAAAAAAAATTTGTAAAAGCAGAAGAAGACTTCAAAAAACAAAACAGTCTACAAGTGAACCGATAAAAGAGGGAAACATTCACAATTGTAGTAAATTAAGAAAGCTAATAAAAAATAATGAAGGAAATTTAATTACCAAAGATGAGAAACAAAGGAAACAATGGGCTGAACATAAATAAATCCTCTAACAAAAGTCGAAGTCCTGAGCTCCATAAAGCTACTGAAATGTGGGAGACCAGCAGGACCAGATAGAATATTGCCAGAAGCACTGAGAACAGACCATAGAGACAACAATGGACATGCTCACACCACACCACAATAGCAGAAGGTCTGGCGATTGGAAGAAGGGTTACCTTGTCAAACTCCCGACCTCAGTGTTTGCAAGAACTGGTGCAGAATCACGCCCCAGTCCAACCGAAGCAAAATATTAAGCCACATCATCCTCGAGAGACTAAAGGATGCTCTTGGATTCAAAACTACGACCGGAACAGGAAGGCTTCAGGAAGTACAAATCATGTGCAGACCAAATTGCAAAGCTTCGCATCATCATAGAACAGAGTATAGAATGGAAGTTAACTCGCTACCTCAACTTTATCGACTTTGAGAAGGCTTTTGACAGCGTCGACCGAGAAGTAATTTGGAAGCTGCTTCATTACTACGGAGTACCGCAAACCTTTATCCGCCTCATTCAACAACTATATGAAGATCCCATATGCCAAGTAATTCACAATGGAAAGCTCAGTGATGCTTTTGAAGTGAAGATAGGAGTGAAACAAGGTTGCCTACTATCCCCATGATATTCCTTATTGTGGTGGACTTGATCATGCAGCAAACAGTGGGCAGCGAGAAGAGGGAGATATGCTGGACACGGAAAACAACCTAGAAGATTTGGATTTCGCCATGACAGGCGAAAACTAACAAGTTGACAGAAGAGGCAGGGCTTGGCAGGGCAGCGAAGACCGGACTTCAAGTGAATATATAGAAGACAGAGGTGATGAAGATACCCAATCAACAACAACAGCAACAACAAGCTCAAATCAACATCAACAGGAGAAACTTTAAGAAAGTGGCCTCCTTCACCTTCAACACAGAGTCTACAACAATTTGTTGTATCGTACAATAAACGATATTCTATCAACGTACATTAATTGGCTGGTTCTATAGTCCAAGCCAGTTGATGAGGTATAGAAAAATACCCTTCAAAAATCAATTTACTAGACGAATAAAAAATACCGAAATTCTATGACCTACCAGCAGTAAAACTAATTTCATCATCTTCTTGTCCAACATAATCATATAATGCACGTACTTTTACACCTGGTCGACCATCATCATATGTTGCATCATTAATTTCATCAGGGTATACAACATCACCCCCACTAGTATTACTATTGAAACCTGAATTTACATTATCATCAACGTTGTCTGTTTTAACACCATTCGTTGAAAGTGTTGAATTTGTAGACGGTTTATCATCAAAAGGTGTATGTATGCTGAAATGTAAAATTGAAGTGATTAACGGAAATAGTAAGATTATCTTAATGAAAGAGTCGATTTTAATTCCATTTTAGTCTGTTTATTAGGAATATTACACACAGTGAAGGAGGAACAGTATCATTTACTGGATAACGTACTATTCGGGCACAAGTTATTGTCCATATTCATATCAGGTAATTAACTCCACAACCTCGAAATAGACTTCATATATTTCTCATTTTCTCTCCTTCTCTGTGTTGACAAAGGTAGTAGACAGGTGCAGAATCATTCCTATTACTCCAGGTATTTGGTGTTGATTGGAGAAACAAACATTCAGTCGGTTTTCAATCTCTCCCTCCCTCCACCCGACTAACTTAGTCTATAATGCTGTCACTCAATCCCCACCCTACTGTGTGTGGGATCTACTAATCTTGATTTAGCTGAGTTTTTATGCTGTGTTATTCTAATCGACCCTGGTTGACTACTTTGACCAATCTATGTACTTGACCTCACAATCATTGTAAGGGATCTGGTGAACCAGATTATTTTGCTGAATTGCACTGAAAGTATATTTTAACCTACAAAGCTTGTTTTCAAGTGAGTTTGTTGGTTTAAATACTAGCCACTGTAATCCCAGCCATCCTTAACTGAGAATTCTTCGTAATGCTTCTGAGGTGTCTCCTGTCATCACAGGGAGAAAATAAGGAATATATAAACTCAACAAGGCTGGCCGGGATTGCATTGGCATTCAAATCAACAAACTCACTTAGAAACAAGCTTTGTAGGTTAAAATATACTTTCAATGCAATTAAGCAAAATAATCTGGTTCACCAAATCCCTTGCAATGATTGTTAGGTCAAGTACATAGGTTGGTCAAAGTAGTCAACCAGGGTCGATTAGAGTAGCACAGCATAAAAACTCAGCTAAATCAAGATTAGTAGATCCCACACAGTAGGGTGGGATACAGTGACAGTATTATAGACTAACTTCGTCGGGTGGAGGGAGGGAGAGATTGATAACCGACTGAATCTTTGTATACCGAATCAACACCATACACATGCAGTGACAGGAATGATTCTGCATCTGTCCCAGATATATGGAAGATTCTACTAGCCTTGTCATCACAGAGGAGAGAAAATTAGAAATATATGAAGTCTATTTCGAAGTTGTGGAGTTAATTACCTGGTATGAATATGGACAATAACTTGTGTCCGAATAGTACGTTATCCGGTAAGTGATACTATTTCACTGTGTGATATTTCTAATAAACAAACTAAAATGGAAAAAGATTATCTCATTTTGAGTACTGAAATACATAAACATAGTAGTGCTATGACCGGTAGTATGACCTAACAGCCTACGGGCGACATAAGTCTAGTAGACTACGTACGATACGAACTTAACGTGAAAACGAATCGACTCTAACGTAAATCAACAACAATATCACGGACACGCGAAAAGGGAAGACAGACCGTTGATAGAGAGGTTTCTACCGTCTCAACAAGTCAATACAGTTGACAGCGATGCTGAATATAATACATTTCGAAGTGACTCTGATAACACCAAATCCATATATAGGTAACAACCAATGAGAGTTCAACCTTCAGAGCAGATAGGGAAGAAAAACTAGTAACGGTGTAAAAACAGCAATGTAGCTTAAGATTATGGGCAAAAACAGAGGGCAAAAGCTATGCAAAATTAAGGGTATATAGCAAGTAGCTTCGATGAGAATAACAGATGAAATCAGCCTATCCAAATAACTTGACAAAATTACAATAAATATGAATCAATTATTTTACACCATCGATAAACCGATGAAAAATCATCATCATCATTATCAACATAGGACCAGGCATTACTGCGTAACGGTCCGAGTTGCCACAGCTCATATCAGCACATCAAGTAAAAAGGGAGTGAGGTGAAGAATGAAGATAAGTGAATGCAGTCAAAAGAAATATAAAGTACGAGAAGAAAGGAAAGAGGAGTGACAAAATGGTGAGATTCGGTATAGCGTTGTTAAGATGAGGATAATGTGTGCATACATCTGCGCCACTGACATCGGCTCTCAGCCATATCACCTACAGTCAGTCTCCAACCACTGGTTCCTCTTGTCCCGCGGACCCCAACTACCTAGTCTGCATCGCTCGACATGGCTTAAACCAACAGTCAAAGATTTCATACATTGGTGCCATGTTTTAGTCTGGCCACCTCGGACGTTTTTTCAGCTTGGACCCACCTCAACCAACATTGTGTGACGAGGCAATCGGTGACTAGGCATACATAGTACGTGTCCCAACCAGCCATCTCAGTCGATGAAGGTTCATAACCTCGTCAACTGACCTACCTCTTCTCCCTAAAACTCTACACCTAACTTCTGCATTACATGGTGACACCACGGAATACGTCCTATACTACGAAGGCAACGGTGGGCAAACACCTGAAGCCTTTTTAAATCTTCCACTTTCAATGGCCGATGAAAAATGCGAATACAACATTATGCATCAAAGTTATATCGTTTATTTGAAGACATACTTCTGTAGTGCACAAAGAACTCAAATGTCTGATAACCTAGAACGCTAATAAAGGCTGACTGATAAATATTGTACGCCTCTTCCCCCTCCAGCCGAAAATATGCTCAGCTGATACTTAATAAGAAGTACACACAGTCGATGGATAAAATTCAGGATGAGAAATGTCAACTCCTTATTCAGTCCGACCTGGAAGTTCGTCGGGATTTATCTATTCATTACAGGTTGATATTCATCATGAAATGACATCACTTGGAGAACCACTGGAAACCTGGTGATTGTTTCGTCCCAACATGAGGCTCTTCAGCAGCATACGCCCACGACCCCACCTAGCACACTACTACTGAATCACTAGGTTAAATGAAACAGCTTCCCTGTGCTCCCAAGTTTCCAATGGTTCTCCAGCTGATGTCAGTTCATGGTGAATATCAACTTGGCGGGTAATGAGACGACAAGAAAGTCAACTTTATTATGCCTTTCGACATTTCCAATCAGAAGTTCACAAATAAAATAGTATAGAAATACTAGGTGATGGCGATTGAAAAGCAAATGAAGACCTGGATAGTAGAAGGATTTGAAAAACGGTCTCCGGAGTTACCAGGCCCAATGCTTTACCAACTGACCCAAGAAACCCATCTACTGATTAGGTCTTAACGTCATTTTATTCAGTGAGGGTTCTTCCCAGCTGTCGTATAAATCTGTACTACATCACTGTTTATGGATTGCAATCAGCAGCCTTGTACACGTCTGTGCAGTATACTATAAGTTACACGTATTGTATGAGGGCCAATCATGATATTCACCTGGTTACTTAAACCTCGATAGGTGGAAGCAGGACTCGAATCAACAATTCATAGGTTGAAAGTCATTTCCATAAACCAATAAGACACAACTCTACAAGTGATGATTGAGGGGTTCGAACCAGTAACCTCTGAGTTGTCAATCGGGCCCTCAGTTAAATAAGCAACTTGACCCAATGGCTAACCAATAGAAAATTAGATGAATAATACACAGTAATGCTTGTTTAAGATAATTTGTTTACCTTTGTCAATGATGATAATATCTTTTTACCAAATCAATAACTGTATGCTTTGTTAATAATCTTATTTAGTGAAAAATCTTTCATAACAAATTGTTTACGCGCTGATAAGTTAGAAAAAAGAAATAAATAACCACATGACTATTACTACTTACTAGGCAAATATTTCTGCTCAATGCCAAAATTAGTAAGATGGATCAAAATGGGTCAAAATAGAGCCGATGAAAAAATATACTTTTTATGATCTCTCAATCTTCAAACATTTACAATAACGTTTGTTTATTTCTTAACTTGTTTGTGTGTTATGTACTCTTAGCTTCGTTAAACCTCTGCAAGATATTTGCCGATAACTTTGAGATACCTTTACTCTTGATGTTTTTGCGCCCTCTTGGCGCCATTGCTAACTTTTGTCTTTCTAACTGCTTCTGAAGGTTAAGGTTTCATTGGTTCTATTGTGCCCTTAAGTCAGTCGATAAAGTTTATCTCTGAGTGAGTTTGTAGGTGTAAATATCACCGTAATTCCAGCTTTGTTGAAGATTGCAGGTACAGTTTCTGATGTACCTTTTTATAGGGTAACAAAATGGAGGCTGCGAACTCCTCCCCACTTGTGTTGTCGCTGCCATTCATATTCATATTATTGTTATTATTTCGCTTCTTGTGTGTTAGTACGAATTTCTTAATAAACTGTGAAGGATAATTATTAACTATCAGCCCTTCTTTTATGTGCTTCAATTCTACATTCAGGTCCTTGCAATGACTAGTCACTTTTCTAGCTCTGTTGCGTAGACATTTGACTAAACCTCCCTTAATTGACTCGAAGTCTACATACCTGTTAGAATGTGTCAGTTTCCTGTAGACGGTAGTATCCAAACCATCGACGTCTGTCCTTCGTTTTATTTTTCAATCCAATACAGGTGATTCTCCTTCTTCATTTTCTACCTCATCGTAAGTGAATTGAATTGAGCCTACTACTGAGTTTACATGTGTGATGAAATTGTCGATATCTTCGAATTTCAACACAGTAGACAATATGTTATCCACATATCTCCACCATATCTTAAGTGTAGGACTAAATGTTTATAAAGCCATGCTTTCCCATCTATCCATAAATATATCTGCTACGATCAAGGATATTGGCGATTCCATTGCTACTCTTTCTGTTTGTCTGTATATTTTATCCTGAAACTTGAAAACTGTGGAAGCCATGCACACCTAATATGATCTAATTAAACGATATCTTAGTTCTGATAAAATAGGTGTAGTTCATTGCCTATTGAACAAATATACACAAAGTTGTTGATAACATTCCAAGATGCGCATTCCATCCTATTTCGCACTTTTCAGTTAGATGTACTTGCATCTATGTAAGTGATAGCGTTCCTACTGAGATTGAAACACAGTCCCCATCACATCAAATGCCAGAACGTTAACCCTAGTGATTCATCAAGTA